AGAGACGTGGTCATAAAACAGGCATGGGTCAGATAATGGCAGACAGGTATATGGCGGGCAAAACACAAGAATAATCAAAACCGGGCGTGGTCGATAAGCGGCTAACAATATCCAGAGGGCTTGACAGGGGTATCCAATAACAATGCAGAGGTCCAGGCAGGGGCAAACAGTATCCGAACACGGCAAGACGAGAGAGGTAGTCCGAAGTACACAAGCAATAATAGGCTATCGAAGGGAAACAGGCTCTGTAGAGTAGCTATCGCTAAGAGAGAGATAAACGCATACAATATTCGGCAGAGGGAAGGGATCAGAGTGAGTGTTAAATAGTGAGGGAGTGATATGAAACAGCTGGGTGCAATCAGTGTTGTGTGCAATTAGTGAACCAGCTGTGTGCAATCAGTGCTGTGAATGATGGGATATGTAGTCCGGGATGATATGCAACAGTGTGAGTGCGAGAGTCAATGAAAATGGGAAGGGTGACCTCTGATGGTTAGCCGACAGAAGTTCATGGACCGGATTCGTGACAACTATAGCTGACATTATTCTATAAGCAATTTCATGACATTCAAGGAAAATAGTCTAGTACTTTTTGAAATTCATTTGTCACCCCACATTTTTCAAAATGCTTAATGTAAACATGTTTAGTATGCCATTAAAAAATGAACTAATGGTTTTATGTGTTTGAGTGTGTGTGTGTTCAGGTATACCCTACATTTTGAGGAAGGAATATCCCCACAAAGATGGTGTAATGGATGTGGAAGAACACACTCACACACAAGGTTTCTTCAGCTTTGGTTTATCTTTTTGGGAAAAAAGTAGAATAAATCACATTGGCTGAAGACAATACTGAAGATATACATGAAAAACTGGAAAAACAGAAATTACACCCTCAACTCATAATACAATAAACTGTCAGAAGGCTTAAGACAGACACAATGACCACGTAAAATGAGCTCGTTCCTACTCGTGTGACGCAGGAAGAAATGCAATACATGTATAACATTTTTTGGTCCCTATAAGGAAACAAGCCTATAAATCATAGAGAATGAGTTTTTTTGAGAATGTACAAATGCAGAAAGTTTCCTGTGAGGGGTAGATGTAGGTGTAGGGTTGGTGTAGAGCAAGAGCGAGAGCATATACAGTGTGTCCAGCAAGGGCTTCAGTGCTTCAGTGTTTGGAGCTGAACTTCATTCTGCTTCACTCTTTAGTTTTTATTTCTCTTTCAAAAACAAACATACAGAGATGCTTAACGTCAAACAGAACACAAATAAAAATGGCGGATACATATAACAAATATACATCATGGAGGTTAAAACATTAGATTTTACAAATAAAATGTTTTAATATGAGAGACATTTTTATACATTTCTTGTTCCTTGTGATTGAAATCAATGAGTCATAAAATATAGTTTAAGTTCTTTACAGAAAAACTTAAAAGAGGGAGTAATAGACATTATTTTTCCTTTATGTACATGGAACTTCCCAAGAAGAATTATCACCT